TTTTGTTTAAGTTGTTGTTTGAACGAATATAGAAATGTACAACATCTTAAACTTAAAGTTAGATAATTCCATAACACATGGGCTTGAAAACCAGTTGAACAGTTTTGGGCTTAAAAAGTAGTATATCTGAGATGAAGTGAGGTGGGGAGGGGGGTCAGATAGATGAGAGATAGAAAGGAAGGAGAGAGGAGAGATAGAAAGGAAGGAGAGAGGAGAGATAGAAAGGAAGGAGAGAGGAGATAGAAAGGAAGGGGAGAGGAGATAGAAAGGAGGGAGAGAGGAGATAGAAAGGAAGGGGAGAGGAGATAGAAAGGAAGGAGAGAGGAGATAGAAAGGAAGGGGAGAGGAGATAGAAAGGAGGGAGAGAGGAGATATAAAGGAAGGGGAGAGGAGATAGAAAGGAGGGAGAGAGGAGATAGAAAGGAAGGAGAGAGGAGATAGAAAGGAAGGAGAGAGGAGAGATAGAAAGGAAGGAGAGAGGAGATAAAGAAAGGAAGGAGAGAGGAGATAAAGAAAGGAAGGAGGCTTACGGATTAAACGAATGACGGAAGCTGTCATCAGGGCATGTGGAGGCTCCATAACAGAGAGTTCAGAGTTATCTTTTAGTTGTGGTTGATTGTAGAGAGAGGAGAGAGAGAGAGAACGATATAGATGGGGAGGTGAACAGTAGGAAGGTAGGGATGAGTTGGATAATGATACAGAAGACGAAATGATAGATAGAGGGGGGTAGAGACAAAGGGTGGAGAAATAGGAAGGTAGAGACGAGCGGGATAGGGATACAGAAGAATAAATGAGCGACAGAGAGGAATAGAGACAGTGGGAGATATACAGGAATAGGAAGAGGGAAGACGAGGGGGGGGGGGGAGAGGTTTAGATGAAGAGAGGGATAGAGACAGTGGGAGATATACAGGAATAGGAAGAGGGAAGACGAGGGGGGGGGGGTAGATGAAGAGAGGGATGGAGATACAGAAGAGAAAGAGGAGAGGTTTAGAGGAAGAGAGGGATGGAGATACAGAAGAATAAATGAGAGACAGAAAGGAATAGAGACAGTGGGAGATATACAGGAATAGGAAGAGGGAAGACTAGGGGGGGGGGAGAGGTTTAGATGAAGAGAGGGATAGAGACAGTGGGAGATATACAGGAATAGGAAGAGGGAAGACGAGGGGGGGGGGAGGTTTAGATGAAGAGAGGGATGGAGACAGTGGGAGATATACAGGAATAGGAAGAGGGAAGACGAGGGGGGGAGGGGTAGAGGAAGAGAGGGATGGAGACAGTGGGAGATATACAGGAATAGGAAGAGGGAAGACGAGGGGGGGGGGTAGATGAAGAGAGGGATAGAGACAGTGGGAGATATACAGGAATAGGAAGAGGGAAGACGAGGGGGGGGGGTAGAGGAAGAGAGGGATAGAGACAGTGGGAGATATACAGGAATAGGAAGAGGGAAGACGAGGGGGGGGGGGGTAGAGGAAGAGAGGGATAGAGACAGTGGGAGATATACAGGAATAGGAAGAGGGAAGACGAGGGGGGGGGGGGTAGAGGAAGAGAGGGATAGAGACAGTGGGAGATATACAGGAATAGGAAGAGGGAAGACGAGGGGGGGGGGTAGAGGAAGAGAGGGATAGAGACAGTGGGAGATATACAGGAATAGGAAGAGGGAAGACGAGGGGGGGGGAGGTTTAGATGAAGAGAGGGATAGAGACAGTGGGAGATATACAGGAATAGGAAGAGGGAAGACGAGGGGGGGGGGTAGAGGAAGAGAGGGATAGAGACAGTGGGAGATATACAGGAATAGGAAGAGGGAAGACGAGGGGGGGGGGGGAGGTTTAGATGAAGAGAGGGATGGAGACAGTGGGAGATATACAGGAATAGGAAGAGGGAAGATGAGGGGGGGGGGAGGTTTAGATGAAGAGAGGGATGGAGATACAGAAGAAGAAATGAGAGAAAGAGAGGAATAGAGACAGTGGGAGATATACAGGAATAGGAAGAGGGAAGACGAGGGGGGGGAGAGGTTTAGATGAAGAGAGGGATAGAGACAGTGGGAGATATACAGGAATAGGAAGAGGGAAGACGAGGGGGGGGGGAGGTTTAGATGAAGAGAGGGATGGAGACAGTGGGAGATATACAGGAATAGGAAGAGGGAAGACGAGGGGGGGGGAGGTTTAGATGAAGAGAGGGATGGAGACAGTGGGAGATATACAGGAATAGGAAGAGGGAAGACGAGGGGGGGGGGGAGGTTTAGATGAAGAGAGGGATGGAGACAGTGGGAGATATACAGGAATAGGAAGAGGGAAGACGAGGGGGGGGGGGAGGTTTAGATGAAGAGAGGGATGGAGACAGTGGGAGATATACAGGAATAGAAAGAGGGAAGACGAGGGGGGGGGGGAGGTTTAGATGAAGAGAGGGATGGAGATACAGAAGAAGAAATGAGAGACAGAAGAATAGAGACTGGAAGAATTTGCAGCAATAGGAAGCAAGAGAGATGAGGGATAGAGATGAAGAGGAGATAGAGGGGAATAGATTTATAGAGAGGGAGGGGTTGAGAGGAAGAGACAGGACGAGAGAGAGAGAGAGAGAGAGAGAGGGAGAGAGAGAGATGAGGATAGGGAGGACGAGATAGAGAGAGAGAGAGAGAGAGAGAGAGAGAGAGAGAGAGAGAGAGAGAGATGAGGATAGGGAGGACGAGATAGAGAGAGAGAGAGAGGGAGAGAGAGAGAGAGAGAGAGAGAGAGGGAGAGAGAGATGAGGATAGGGAGGACGAGATAGAGAGAGAGAGAGAGAGAGAGAGAGAGAGAGAGAGAGAGAGAGAGAGAGATGAGGATAGGGCGGACGAGAGAGAGAGAGAGAGAGAGAGAGAGAGAGAGAGAGAGAGAGAGAGAGAGAGAGATGAGGATAGGGAGGACGAGATAGAGAGAGAGAGAGAGAGAGACGAGGATAGGGAGGACGAGAGAGAGAGAGAGAGAGAGAGAGAGAGAGAGAGAGAGAGAGATGAGGATAGGGAGGACGAGATAGAGAGAGAGAGAGAGGGAGAGAGAGAGAGAGAGATGAGGATAGGGAGGACGAGATAGAGAGAGAGAGAGAGACGAGGATAGGGAGGACGAGAGAGAGAGAGAGAGAGAGAGAGAGAGAGAGAGATGAGGATAGGGAGGACGAGATAGAGAGAGAGAGAGAGAGAGAGAGAGAGAGAGAGATGAGGATAGGGAGGACGAGATTGGGGGGAATATAGTTATGGGAGAGATAAACGGGAATTTATTTCATTTCGGAATGTACAAGGGTGAGACCACAACAAACCAATTTCAGCAGATCAGATAGACGATGCATAGAAACTCGATGTAAAACCAATACAGCCAATACAATTTAACAAAAAAAACCCACAGTGTGCTGTACTCACACCGCAAGCAATGAAATCCGAGAGTATATATATTCTCCGCTCTTCACATGACACTTGTCACAATTTTTCGAGATATGGAATATAACTTGTAACATAGAAAATTATTGTCTATTTACTTGAATATCAACATTTCATATTATTTGACTATGTGTCCAGCTGCGTCATAGTATACATTATATGTACATGCATTAAGCTGCTCATGTGTGCTAGTACATCAATACGCTACTGACTATATGTGAACATTAGTGATAAGTTTCTTCTTCTCATAACCCTGATAATTTACACAAGATTAAAATTCACTTGAAAATTACAGACTCTTTTTAAAGTAGATTCGTCTTCTTATACCGAGGGTCGGGCTATGGTTTTGTGGGTCTATAGGGCAAAATATTTCATGGGACTTATTGCTGCTACATTCTATATAAAAACATGGGCATAACCAAATAATAAGCCCTGTAATGAAATTAAGTCAGGATATAAGCAATCAGTATGCGTTAAAGAGTCTACAGGCAAAACACGTGATTTTTCTTACAATCAGAGTAATATCTAGCAAGTGTATGTCCTACCTAACTTCGGGCTTTTTCTTCGAGTCCTCTGGTTTTCTCCCACTGCAAGCGAATTATTGAAATAAAAATTGAACCATATGTCTGTCCAGAAATGATCTAGTTTCTGTCTAGTGGACGTTAAACCCCATCTTTCTCTCTCATGAGGTCTGTCATTGAGTCAACTGGCGTGGTTTCAATTCCCCGGTTGTACGTTACAAGGAGTTGGGTCGCATGTCCAAAATTCAAACACTCATAAATTCGCACAGAATAAAATTTGAATGATATTTTCATGAAATTCAATTTTCCTAAATCTATCTGGAACTTATATAGCACGAGCGACCAGCTCCTCATCTTATTCATCTAATTTTATTATCTTTAATATTCACTGTTAAGGATATTTATTGAAAACTTTGTTTTTTATTAATAATTTATATTTTCCTTTTTATATGTACTTGTTGTTATTGTATTGGCGCTTACCAGCAGCTTTTAACTGGAATTTGGTCGCCTTATAAATGAATAAATTGTTATTATTATCATTAATACATATTTATTTGTTATCTAACTAATCAATCTTTACAATAAATGAGAATAAAACTTAATATGTCACAAATAAGCGATTCAGCAAAGTTTTTAGTGCATGATCTGGTTACATCTGTGGTCGATAACCTGATCTGTTTTGACCGGTATTTCTGGTCTCCCATTGTGTAAGCTATATAGTCCAGAGTTCATTTGTTACAGTGATTACAAGAACGCGATAGATCCCCAGAGTGATTCATGAGGATACAGAAAATAATAGTGATGCAACGGGATTAATGAATTCTCAAATTATTTCCAAGTGAAAAAAATAAGAACTCAATAGCTCACCAAGCTACAATACACACGACATCGGTTAGGGCAGAAATTAAGCCACGTGTAACTATTTTTAAAAAATCGATGAATGACGTGGATGTTTTCATAGAAATTGTCAAAACATCGTGTCTACATTCCAGAAGCTTGTAAATTTTTCTATATTTCTAAAATCTGTCAGCAGCTGTCTACCTTTGAATGTGTATAAAAGACATGAATATCTCTGAATTATTCATTTACCTTTCTGATTTCTCTACTCTGTAGTCGTGAATCTGAAAATTTACCAACATGCGTTTTTTGCTGACAGTTGTTCTCTTGGTTGCTGTAGTTATGATTGTTGCTAATGCCAGTAGGAACGGTCGTCGTCGGCATAATCGTAATAATCGCCGTTATGGGAGACCGAGAGCAGCTTTGAGAAACGCCAGCTGCCGAAGAGTAAAGAATGCGGGTGTTTGTGAGAGATGCTGTGGTAAGAAATTTTTGTATCCATATTATTAAAACCACGAGAGTCCTGAAATTTTGTAGTTGTGTTACCACATTCTGAAGGTGGTCAGATGAATCACACTATTCTTAACACCTCAATGGTTTCTGGCGAGTCATGACTGATTCGGTGTTGCAATTTGACTCTTCAATCGGGTTGTCTTGCTTCCAGGGACATCTTAACGCAGGGGCAGGCTTGACAGGTTTACGTGTTATCCGATTTGTCTTGGTTCCAGATTATACTAGGTATTTTAAGCATGCCATGGTTCCTGGCTAGTCATAACTGAACAGGTGTCGCAATGTGATTTTTTAACCAGTTACTAAAACCTGGCAACGTGACTGTAAATTGGGTAATTTAGCTTATGAACAAATTTATTATGTGGCAATCTTACCGATTCATCATTCCAAAACTAAAATGTGTCCCCAAACTACGCTGGAACGTTAAATTCTTTATGGGTCCTGGGTCTTCCCATACCATAGATAGACATGGCTGACCCCTTCCCTCAACACAACCATGATTTATAGATAGACATAACTGGGCCGGTTTGACCAGGTATATTACCTACTAGACTCGGGTACAACACCATCAGCTACTTTGCTATTTGTTTGGTTGGCGGTTTGTAACGAAAAAAAATGTTGTTCTGTACCATTTCCCTTTTCGCTCTTCCGCACGACGCTTTATGTTGACCTTTTGGTGTAGAATCGAAAAAACGTGGTTGAATATATATTTACTGCAAGGTTTTCGGTCAATATTCATGGTTTTGAGGCGGACAGATAAGAGAGTTAAGCGGTTAGTTATGTTGAAATGTAGTGCAGACATTTGCATGTTTATTTGTAAGCTACTGCCAATCTGTGTATCTACAAATTTCTATGTTGAACCTCATACATGCTTTGAGCAAGAGGTTACCAGATGTTGCTCCATTTGTGGTAGAAAGCTTTGAACCCAATGGGAATTTAGGGAAAAGATGGAGCCAGTCAACGGACCAGAATTAATATAACAGTCCATTGAGAAATTAATGGCGGCCTGTCTTCATTTTCAGAAAGGGGGGGGGGGCGTGCTGCCCCCACTTGGGAGTGCGAAGCCCGGCTTTCGGTGGGCGGACTGATGGGCAATCAACCAAAGACACAGGGATCGCGGACTTACGACAGCGTGCGCGCGGGGTTCCCCCCCCCCCACACTAGAAAACATTTCAAGAGGATAGCTTTTGTTTTCAAGAGACTTGTCACGGCAGAGTCAGTGGGGATACTCGAATGTCCGCCCGGAACATGCCGAATTGATACGAGTTGCAATCGAGTGACGTGAAATTTAGTCACGTGACAGCCCGATCTGTCCAGACAACTGAGGTGGTGTGAGTAGAATCATGACGTAATTAAACAAAACTGTAACGGTTGGTTGTTGTGTTTTTTGATACAATCAAAGCATGCGCTGTAGCCGGACATCGCCCGTTTCACTCGATTGTCGCTATTTTTGGAATTGTGAGAATTCAATTCCTGAACGTTCAATCGAGTATCCTATTAGGTGTGTATCATGGTGGAAAGTCATGGTAAAATTAATTTATTTAAGTAGCTATCATGATGGAAGTTCATCCAACTATCTTAAATTGTCTTTTTATATTTTAGATCCGTGTGAAGACGTAGTATGTACTGGGCCCCTAACGTGTGATATGGGAGTGTGTAATTGTAACGGCACCATCTGTGACGTTGATCAAACCTGCACTGGAACTGGTGATGGTGCCAGTTGTACAGACAGTAAGTACTGTTTGTGAAAGAGAGAGTGATTAACGTCTACTCGACAAAAACATAATGGTTTAATTATTTTTCAATAATTCGCTTGCGCGTAGAGGTCCTTGGCTGTGTGTGGAAACTGGAGAAATCACACGAAGTTGGACAGGCGACTCAACTCCTTGTTACGTACGTACAACTATGTGATCGAAACCACGGCACTTGACTCTGACAAGGTGAAACCCCGCCGGAAAATCCCGAGGCTTGTTTTTGGTTTCAAGAGAATTATCACAGTGTACAAAGTGTATATAAAATATTTCTTATCATGGTGGAAATTTACCCAGATAAGTTAAATTTTAAATTCTCTTTTTATATTTTAGATTGTAACCCCGATTGTATTTTGCCCTTAACATGTGATGGGGGAGAATGTAAATGTGCAGGCATCGTCTGTGACGTTTGTGACGAGTGCACTGAAACCACCTCAGGTCCAAAGTGTATGGTAAGTACTGTGTGAAACCTGGGAAAACTGATGAGAGAGAGAGAGAGAGAAATAGAGAGAGAGAGAGAGAGAGAGAGAGAGAGGGGCAGCAGGCAGACAAGCAGGCCTTGTCTGGTGGTTTATCTTTAACCACTATTACTTAGATAAAATCTAATGGTGGTATTATTTGAACTCATTGAGAGTTTCTAAGATTACAGAGGTAACCCAACCTTTTTCTAGTCCTAAGTTACCCCAATAAAATATGAGCGATACGTTAAACGACCATTTTATTCTCTTTCAATAATAAACTACATCGGAATTATACAAACTTTACGACCAAAATCAGCTAGCGTAGCTTCTGCAGCCAACTAAATTCAAATTTACTTTACAATACTATCTTGAAGAAATATAAAAAATATATGATAAATGAAACTGACATCTTATTTGAATGCTTGTCTGTTGTTTAATTGTTTTAGAATTCTTATGTCAAATTCTAACTGAATTCAAATGTAAATGGTTAATTTTAAACAACCATTTTATTCTCTTTCAGCCTGGATAATTGGATTCAAATATACAATATTATATAGAAATAATCTAATAAATAATAAATGAAATTCACATCTTATTTTAATGTTTGTTGTTCATTTGTTCAGAATTCTTATGTCCAATTCCAACTGTCAAGGGTTCTTTTTCGTGCACGTCAATCAATACACAAGCGTTCGGTTTGTCTCCCTTGGTTTAATGTATTCATTATAATATTTAATTGTTGGGGTCACAGTGCTCGCTCAGACCGTAAGCTGCTGGCGCACTAACCACGACATCACGGGTTCGGTGCCGGTTTTGTTGTCCGAAAAATTACTTGGGATTGTTCAGTGTAACCTCTCCCCCACAACTCCCTGTCTATTAAATTAAAATTGAACCATTATTTGTATCGAATGAACGATACGTCCCCTCCCCCCAACAACCATCTTCGTCTGTCACAGGAAAACAGAACACACTGTTATGATTAGAAGAGCAATAAATTTGTGGTTCAACACCCCACTTTTCTGCATCTACGGGGGGTATTAAAGACGGACTTACGCCACCAACTATTATATCGAATTCCAGTCGCCAAGTATTGTTTTACGTGCACACCAATGTGTACTAGTCCGGTGGCTCAAGGTGTGTGTGTGGTGGGGGGGGGGGGTCGCAATCCGAGCGGTGTGGTGATCAGGCGTTTGATGGGGCGTTTTCGAGATATGGATATGGGGGTGCGGGATCCAATGTCTACAATCGGGGGAAAATGTGATTATGTTGACATAAATGATGATCATGTTATGTATAAAAAAACATAATTTCTAGGACTGTCCATCTCTAAATAAGTGTAGATGATGCCCTCGGACAACTGTTTTGATTTTTGGAGAGGTGGGCGTGGTGGGTTGCGGATGTGCGTGTATGGAAGAATGGGGTGCTTGGAATTGGGGGGAAATGATTTCACGTTGAAATTTGTTTCTTAGATCTTTTTAATCTTGGTGGGAGTGTGTGTGGGTGTGTGCAGAGCTGTTTTGTCTTCCATATAAGAGAGCTGTTTAAATTTTAAAACAAAACAACCCGTAGACTGAAGATGTACCTCTGTACAATAGTCAAGAGTGTATTTTTAAACGATCATCATTTTTACAGTTATTCTGTGGTTGTATTTACTTGCATGTTGCCAGAATATATAGGAATCAAAACAACTGTGCTGACACTACCTGATACCACCTGATACCACCTGATACCACCAGTATGATACAGCGTTTGGGAAATATCCCCCCCTTTTCTTCAGTTAATGTTAGTTCGTTTTTTATGTTGAGTGAAGTCTGTATCACTACAGGGCCGGGACTGTACAGCACAGTGGACGATTACGACTAGCCAATGGGTCAAATAATTATATGTTTGGGCTGTCGATTTCTCTTGTGTGATTCTTTACACGTGCACTGGACACAGACCACCAATAATACCCCCCCCCCCCAACATTCTCCTCATAAGGTATCCCACGAATTGATTTCCTAATTTAATTTCCCGATTCATCCTCCACCACACACACACATACACTCCCCTAGCCCTTTTGCATGGTGCATTTTTTTCCAGTAGAATTGAAGCACAGTGTTTAAATGTATAATTGATATCCATGACAGAGATATGTTAATTACGTTCGTACAGGTAAACATTGATTAGTATGCTAGTATCGCGAGATTTTCATGGTTAACCTCATACAGGCTTTTGATCAAGTCGTTGTCATTTGTGGCTCCATGAAAGAGACGAGAATTTACATAAGTCAATGGCGATATCAGTGGTGGTCTGATACCAACTACGTTAGTGTAGTCCCTCTGTACCGAACTACCACAGACAGTAACAAATAAGTATACCCACTCTGTACTGAACTACAACAAAACAAACCAACAAAACTTAAAACTGATCTTTATCAAGTGAAACAAGAACCGCTGATGTGAAGACCTAATGTGAGATCATTGAGAGAATTAAACGTGGAAAAAAGATGCCGATAGAGAATAATCCATAAACGTAGGTTTCGATAGTTATGGTAAACAAACAGAAAACATGATCATTGTTATTACTATTGGTTTTAAAGGAGGTGGTTCACGTATTTCTAACAATTAGATAGATTGATAACCATGGTGATAACTAGAATCAACCTGTTTCTATACAATAGATAGGTACAGGTAACTTTGATATCTATATTCTAACCAAAGAGTGGTAACCATGGTAACTACTAGATTCCATACAATATTAGACAGTCTTCGATGAAAGCCTGTTATACGGATGTAACAATATTAGACAGTAGAAATGTCGGCACATGTTATACGGATATAATGGATATAACAATATAAACATATTTTTAATAACAGCTGAATTTTATTTTCTAGATTTTAGATTTTGTGAAATAATCAATATTATCACTAATGATCGATAATGTGATCTTTTTAGATGAACGATAATACATTAAATGTGATATTATAGACAGGTTGATTTAATTAAATTATTTACACTTAATGGATTGAAAACTGGTAAAAAAAACAAACAATCAAAAGTCACCTTAAAATTGGTAAAAACACAAGAATAAAAAAGTCCTTGTATATCAAAAAGTCACATTAAAACACACTCATAAAATCGCTGTCGTGAGACGAGACGGCGGGTCATCTTCTCCGTTTGTTATAATAAAAAAACCAGGTTAAAACAGGTCCAGCTGACTGATATTTGGCGTCATCAGTGCGGATAGAAAAAAAAATACACTGGGGAAAAGAAGATGTTTACCATATGTTCTAAAATGTCGTTGTGTTGGATGAAGACGTCCTTAAGGTGTTGTACTTCCAGGTTGAGGGATTCGGGGTCACAAATGGCCTTTTCTCGTTTAGTAAAGGTGGTGATAATGCATGCTTTTATATGCATTTGGGTTATTAGATTTGTTGTAGATATATTGGTCAACGTGTGTTGGTTTTATGTTCACTGAGGTGGTGACATTGGAGTTTTCTCTTTTTACCATTACATTAAGTAATGGGAGGCTGCTGTTGGTTTCATCTCCACTGTGAACTTCATTCTTGGATGTTGGTTGTTTAAATGATTCAGGGAGGACGACGGTATCATCTTCTTTTTGTAACATGACGAAGGCGTTATCCATCTTTCTGAACCAGAAAACAGGTTGAAAAGGAACGGCTCGAGTGCCTTCTTCTGGTAACATCATATAAATTTTGAAAATCACCATCGGTAAACCATCGGTATACATTTGTATCCATAGATACATTTGATTTTGTTGATTGAAATATGAATACTTCAACGATTAATGTCATTTTATAGATTATGATGCCATAATATTTTTGCTCTGTTCAACTTTGTTTTTGTGTCGATATACCATAATACGACAGCTGGCTGGAAAGTTCTAAGGATATTTCAATTGGATAGAAACAAATTTTTACTACCAACAAGTAAAATCATTGAAAGTATCATAGAGATAAGAACTTCAAATGTAGTTTTATTATTGTCTTTATATCATACCATCATGTGAACCTACCCATTGAAATCATCAGCACAAATGTAAAAATCTGGCTACAGGGCAGTCATCAAGTACCTGCAACTAGAAGGGCTGTAACCCCAACATAAATATATGCTGACATGGTCTCCAGTTTAGGGAAAGACACACCTTTATTTCCACACTAAAGAAGATTCTGCATAATTTAAATGTGGTGGAGTGAGCCTTGACGAAGACCTGTGTAGATTGGCCCCGCAACATGTTGCCAGTGTTATGGATATTTCTCATGAGAAGGTTAAGCACATTATCGCCAATGAGATATGAATGAAAAAGATTTCTGCATGATGGGTATCAAAGCTCTTGACTGTGGATCACAAATTTGTCAGATTCCTGACATCCAGTGACAATATGTGCTGTTTTAAACATATCCTGATAATTTATTAGCCAGATTTGTAACCACTGTGGAGACCTGGATTCATCAGTTTCAACCAGAATCCTAAATTCAGTCAAAACAATGGGAGCATACAGAGTGGCAAGCCCCCAAAAAAGCCAGATCGGTTCCTTCTGCTGGAAAGGTGATGGCTTCTCTTGTTTAGGATTTCAAGGGTATTCTGCTGATTGACTATCTTGAAAAAGGCCAGACTATGAATGGAAGATACTATAAAGGCATCCTGTTCCTTCAAGGCATTGCTCTTGTTCATAAATCGGTGATATCCATGTCAGTGATCCATGATTTCGACTTCAAACTCATCGGACTGTCCCCACTGCTCAACCAATTTGTCATTTTCCTGTCTTGATTGTCTTATTAATGATGACACCATGTCAGCTGTGAATGACCTTTTTCAGGGTTACTGAAGATAATTTGTTGGTGACCTGTATCCAGGCCTTGCAATATTATTAACAAAAGTGTGTACATCTGGAAAGGGACTGTAGAAAAATAAATTGAAACAATCGACTTTATACAGATCTTTCACAGATAGGCTTAGAACTTTACAGCCAGCCATCGTATTTATTGAAATTGAATAGATTTGGTTTGATACACGATGTTATAATTATTCATGTATTATTTGTATTCTATTTTAAAACTATTTTAAAAAATCATTGTTTTTGATAATTATTAAACAATAAAACATACAAAGATTGTAAATATTTATCCATCCATGTCATTATTGATTTAGAATATTACTGTGTATAGTTTGTACATTTTTACACATTCAACCATTAATGACGTTTTGCATACAAAGTATAAATACAGTTGTAAGGGAGATAACCTGTACAATCATTTCCATATGTGTGTTATATAATGATGTGCAGTATACAGCCCTATGACGTAGAAATGTGTAATGTTCCTTTGCGTTGTCACCAAATTATTTGTGTAAGAGGAGGAGAGATAATTTTAATGAATAATTTATTATTTATGAAGGATAAGATACTATAGAGAACTTTATGATTTATACATACCTTTGCTAATCTTATTGTTATATCTTTGTAGTAAAATACCAATATAAATAGTCATATTGTATTCTAGATGAATACTATTATAAATAAAATAAAATGGAATTTAACAACACACTGTTTTGCACTCACTGGGCAAATACAGACCAAAAAAAAAAAAAAAAAAA